GTGCTCTGTTGCTTAATTATCTTCACCTTACAATTTCAGTGCAAAGTTTGACCCCAGAAACAATAATCACAAATCAGACATGGTTTGATGCTAATCTGGTTTAAAGATTTAATGAATTTAACCGAAAAGTTTGGTCTATAGATTGTAACTTCGGATCAATATCGGTATCTGGGCAACTGTCCACCTACCCCTCCCCTAACTCAACAACAGTCAATTGACAACAATTTAAGGTTAATGTTGGGTTAAGGGAGGGGTAGGTGGCCAGTTGCCCAGATACTGATTTGGATCCATAACTTCTTGGTAACATTCATTATATCTTTAAAATAGAGTAGCATCAAGCCATGTCTGATTGTCCACCTGGTTACCTTGTGAACTTTCACCCTTTCACTCCCGAGATCTCATAAGTAACTCCCCTTACTGTTTGCCATACAGTTCTGGTGATGTTAGTTCAGAGAATTTGGTGTTGGATCAATGAATAATCCCTTTACTATTATTTTTCTTTATTTTCATCACTTGCATATATACTTGATATTGTATTGATATTGTAAGGAGAAATTTTATCTTGGTCACTCATGGGAGTTATGGGGCTATGTATCTTTATTACAAATCAGTTCCTGCATGTACCTGGTAATGGTTGTACACTTGACATCCCAAGACGGGACGGGGAGCTTGAGCGTGGCCTCCTGGTGGGTGACTTGGATCGACGAGGCTTAGGACGAGTAAAAGAACTAAAGTCACGATTTTCCAACAAACCTTCGTCTTTATGACGAACAAGAAATGGTTTATTGTGATTCGCAAGAGTATCATCAGGTCTAGGTAGTGGTGTACTGGTGAGTTTGCGGCGTGAAGGAGAGGGAGACCGTGGCACTTGCTTAGAGCCTGTGGGACTGACTGATCGCCGACTGGTACTAAATGTGCTGTTTGTCAGAAGATCATCGACACCAGAGTCCTAGAATAACAGGTTCTTTTTTAGTTTGTTTCTTTTTATTTTTTCCTTTCCCTATCTCTTGGGAATGCAATTTTTAAGTGGGACTTTAAATCAAGAATGGCTGTTGTAAAATACACTGCAGACAGTTCACATCCCAACCTCATCAGTCACAACAGCTACATGTGAAATGAAAAGAATCCCAGAATCATAGAGAGCCAGTAAAATTACCAAAGAAAGATTTCCAATTTTGAGGCCACAGACATTTCACTGAAATAAATTTTTTTAACAGTTTTGAAAGATAAATAGCTTTCTATCTGCACATATTTTCCATTTGCAAGTCAACCTTTACAGCCTTAATCTTTTAATCCCTGAGAGTGACTTGCATCTAATTTCTCCTTTCAAAATCACCCCTGAATCAAACATTACAGTCATGAGAATAAAGGAAATGATAATCAACTGGAGAACCTCTTGACTGTTAAACAAATTCTCTTTGCCAGCACATTAGGAAACGTCTAGAGAACAGTATGGAGAATATACATACTGATGTTACAGTGTAAAGTGTTAAAACCTTGACATTTCAACTAAGTTGCCTCAAACTTGGAAATTCTCCAAATTTTACTGCTCTCTTTCCATTTTTTCTTTTTGTTCAAAACTCATATTTTGTCGACTGACATGATCAAGTGACAGGTACTAAACAGCCAAATTATGACCCTCTTTTATTGCCTCGACTCCTCGATAAACAATGAAAAAAATATGGCTCACACAAAGTTTGATTTCAAACAGCCATTCAGGATGAAAGTAAAAGTGATTGAAACAGCACAAAGAAACAAGAGTTGATCCTCTGCATTTTCTAGCATATCAAAGGCTCCACAAATTTGCACAAGTGATTCTAAAGGAGGTGCTTAAGAGTGAAAGTGTGCCACGGTCTTCTCCCTGACCATCAGTAATTTAAGAAAATATTTACAGGTGTAAAGAGTTTTTAAAAAATGTATATCCATTAAGGGAAAAAGTGATTATTACAGGCATTTCACAATTAAAGTGCAATAGACTTTGTACAAGTTTTAGGTGTAATTCTAAGCAAGTGACTCTGAACATGTAGAACCTGTGATTTCATTGCTGGTTCAAAGAGTTTTTATTTCTTTTGTACAACATGCAAGATGAGCAGTGTACAGGAAATTAAAGCACTAAACAGTGGGTCAACAGGACCAGATTTGGAGACACTGAAAGGGGTCTTTGAATTGCACCCATGGGCAGGACATTACACATTAACAGTGCCTCTTACCACTCTTGAGTACCAGCAAGCATTCAGGAAAACTTAAAAGATTTCTTGCAATTGCCTGTGATGGGCTAGCATTCCATTCACAAGAATGAAATTTGAAGGGATGCATGGATAAAAAGCCCTTTGTAACCTCAAACAAATTACATTTTCACTCTTAATTCTGTTATACTCCCTTGTGAAAAATAAGGAGAGTTTGATGTTTTTTGAGGGTTACCAAGATCTTTAATTAATTTCCATGCAATCCTTTCAATATCTCCTTGCCTCTTGATCATGTTTGCATGGAAATCTGAGTAAACTCCGACTGTATTGATCCATTGGGCTTTTAAGACTTGGTTCACAGTGATTTTATTATTATTTTATAGCAAAAAGACCAGTGCAACGAGCTTTAGATCATACTTACAGATGATAGGTAATCTGTAGGATCTGGGACTTCCTTGATGGTGGTCTTGGTAGAAAATTCTAACCTCAGAGGCTGGCCCTGCAGAACAACACAATTTAATTGTTACAAGATAGCTGTGCTAGTTTCTTTACTATGTTTGATTCACAGGATTGACTCAAATTTACATCCAATGCCATTACTTGAAAATTCAAACTTGAATGTGTATCTAACAAGTACCATAACTATATTCCATTGTTTAACTTACTGTAATTCTTATGGGGTTAAAAAGAGATGTTTTGAAGAGGGTCACTTCACGACCTGATCCTGGATATGGCGGAACAGCAGGATACAAAAAGTCTCTTGCATTGTTGGCAAAGTGACCAATAACATAGCCCTCTGCAAACAAGTATCGTGACATTATTAAAAACAGTTACATCATAAAAATTATGTTAAGGATATCACATAGTTTGTTTGTATTATTGAATCCATCTTAAAGATAGGTATTTAACACTCTAAGGTATTTAACACTCTAACTCCCAAGATCTGATTGTTAATTCTCCCTTCTAGCTGCTGCACAATTTATTATAATTTAGTCACAAGAATTTGGTAATAGATCAAAATAACAACTTCTACTGATAAGTACGAGTATTCTCATGGACTGTGTGGTGGATATTGTACAGAGAAATTAAACATGTTTGTTAATCATTTCTGAGAGTTAAAGGATTAATGATTACTTGAAAAGGATCATTTCACTAATTAATGACCCTCTCCTACTCTAAAAGGTAAGATGTTGATTGTCCTTCATCTGGCATTCTCCACTACAACATGGTTTGTCAAATAATTAACTTGACATTTATTTAATTATTTCAATCAGCTACTACTGTGTTTAGGTGATCAGTGTTTACTTAAAAAGACCTGTAATGCTTTTATCAATGCATGACCCTGTCAAGATTGATTCCATGCATAGTTACACAAAATTTTGGATGACTAACTTGACAAACCATTATTGTTCAATCAAGCACACCTCACTTGAAATAATTTGGTACTATCCCTGAATTTTTTTTGAAGAACATAAAACTTACAGACTGTTCATCCAAATTTCAAAGTTGTTTTTCATTTTCTCTTGTTAGTTTTAAGGAGTTACTGTTTTTAAGGACAACTAAATACATTTTCTTTCAAATAGACACACATTCTAAATTTGAAACTTTGTGTTAATCGTTAATTATTCAGACGTCCTCACCAGAAGTTTTTCTTTTTTAAATAGACACAAATTCAGGTTAATTTTTTTTTACAAGAATCTGTAATATTTTGAGAATATTTACAAAAATTAAAGCTTTCTAACACAGGTAATTGTCTTACACCTTTTTATAAATTGAACATGTAGTCAGAAGAGTGTATAACCGATCTACAAAACAAACTTTGCCATCAATTTACAAATGACGTAGACAACCACAAACACGGTACAATGCCTGTGGACTAACTGTCTAAACCACAAAAGAATCACTTTTAATTGTATGTAGAATTTTTGTATTGTCACTACAACCATTGACGCCTTAATGAGACAAACTTTAATTTGAATTAAGGTCAATAAATGTAGAAAGAATATTTAAAGAAAACCAGAAAAAAGTTGATAAAGTTGCGTTGAAAAACTGAGTTTTTGTAATAAGTATTATGTGATTAGCATGTGACAATCTGAACTCAAATTTGTGCGGTTTTCGAACGAAACAAAAACTAATTAAAGTTTGTAACCGAAGTATTCTAACCATGGCTACTACAACAAGGTACGGGGACACTGATTTAGTCAAATATACAGCTTCCAATGGAACGGAAAGCGCTAAAAACTCAAATTCCGATATATCAAACAACAAACTTGATATCTTTCATGTCTGTTTCTGATTGGTTGGAGATTACAAGCGAAGATTTCAATACTAATTTCTTTGCAAATGTTGTGGCTACTGTAATAATGTAAACATAATTATCCCACCTCTCTTGAAAAAAAATTCAGGGTCGAATGCTTTCAGCTGATTATTAGTAACGTCACTGGTGGTAGTACAGAATTAAGCGCTCACGAATAATCTTAGGTTACGTGAAAGTTAATCCCTTTGCAGCGTTGGTAAGCGAGGGATTTAGAGCAAATTTAAAAAATTAAAAGTATTCTCACCTGAAATGTAGTCATCGTGCTGCCTTAGCTCTACCAGAACATCTTCACCTTGAGAAATTCAAACAAACGCGATGTTAACTTTCGTATCCGGTTTCCATACCATCAAATATGGCGGAATTCTTCGATCGTGATCCAGTGAATGTAGCTTACCTTTTAAGTGAACTGTTACGTATGCTGGGTCCTGACAGCTTTTGAATACCTAAGAAAAGAAAGCAAGGTACAATAACAAGGCTAAAATCCACACGATCGTCCGAACGTGACGAGAACAAATACACAAAGCAGGTTACGAAACTAAAACTCACCCGTTCGAATCGCAGACGTTCATGAAAGAACAATGGAAAGGTAGGAGCTACAGACTTGGTATTAACTTCCAAACCCATGCAATTTACTTTCAAATAAACATAGCCATAATCTCGGAGAAAAGTGCCAGGGCATGTCACCTGAAAAGTGAATGGAAACAGAAAGATTTATGAAATTCGTTCCAACAAAACCTTCGAAGGATCGATCGCATGCAAGACCTTCCTTGCAGCATGCAGTCTGGCGTCGTTAGCAACGGCGAAGGAATCAGTTGAAATTCCTTCGACATTTCGCCAACAACACTTACCGTGTGAATATCTAACTCCACCACAACTTTCATAGCCTTACGAGGCATTGTACTTTTGCGCTTATTTGAAAATCCTAGCGAGGAAAGGTAGGCAAAACAGTAGAGGTCGACGTCAGATCAAACCGGGTCCAGAGAAACCTGTGATTTAAACCCGCACGGCTAGAGCGTCGCCGCGGGTAGACGCGAAATTTGGTAAACAGTTATTGACCAATCAGAATGCAGTATTCTTTAACTTGATTAAATGAGTACACTCACGGACAAATGAGAATTATAATTGTTTTGTGACGTCATTGGAACACATAATCGTTAGTTCCTCGATATTTCCCTTGATGACAAGGCATAGGAAAAGTTCATGTCCACGGGTCTTACTCGACCAATATACAATCTTCAGCGGCATGAGCTTCAACATGATTCTCATTGGGGATCAAAAATGATCAAAAATGACCAAAAAAAGCTATTATCCTTGCAGGTGAGCAGAGAAGAAGCCAAAAAAAAAAGAAAACTCAGGCTTCGGCGTGATTCGAGCCGCGCCTCCCGGATACAATATGGATGCTTTTAACTTGATCCCAAAAATAGGATCAAAGCAGCTGGGAGCAATATGCAGTAACGGATTTGCACGAGACAGTGTAAATTTAGAAAGAACTTAACTTCTGATAATGCAAAGTACAGTGGTTTTGTATACAAATGTTTTACGATCACTTGTGATATTTAGAGTTTCGATTGGTATACAAGTTTTTGAGACAAGAAATATAGTTTATCATACTCCCCAGCAGAAAAGTAAAGTTATTTTGAAATACCTAGTGCAGTTTGGTCGATTGTGTTTTAAAAATATGTATCCAACGAAATTCTAACTCTGGGTGTATTCTCCATATATGATTAAAATCTCACCAATAATATTTGTCTCAATAAGAAATGTCATGAGAAGAAAGGAAACTGTTCTTATTTTTTGTTCCACGCAATTTTGATCTGCGAAATATAAGCGAAACAACCAGAAATAAAATTTTTGAACGTAGAACGACGGGAATGAAAACAATTACACAATTAAAAAATAGCTTTCAATTAAAGCGGAAAGCTATTTAACAAAGCTCTACCGAATCGGAAGTATTTTGCATGATTTCCTCATACAAGAAAGTGACTTCCTCTATGGTTTACGAGCGAGGAAAACTCACCCAATATGACTTCTCTCCTCCCCAGGAATTTCCCACTTAGCTCATGACGTCATACCATGAAAAACACTTCACGCAAAGATGGCGACGGGTCTGTGTTATAAGTTAAGATTTTAGCTTTTTATAGCATTTACGACGGCTTTGAGAGCCCGGAAAGATATTTTAAGAATGTAAGAGGCTTCATAGGTGCCAGGCAAAGACGTGATTGTGCTGGAGAATGTGACAATCTTGGGAATAATTCTTTGTTTTTCACGAGACGTTAGAATTATCAAGCGAAAGTTTCCACTGAGAGCTTCCATCAACATTAGATTGTCGTCAAGAGGATGCGTAGCATCTATGCTTGAAAGAACGCATGTCAAAGAAGATTAGTGGAAATAAAATCGGCTGGTCAAGTTAATTGGAAAAAATGGACCGGCAAGAGCGACTAGAAAGGACAGCGTCTATGGCCAACAACAAGGGATTGCTGAATAACCCTGGTGAAAATAATTGTTTTCTGAACTCGGCAGTTCAGGTAAGAAAAACGTTTGTTTTCTGAGTAAATGATATATAGTTTAGCGATCTCTTTAGAAAAGATCTATTCTATTTTCTGCTTTGTGAGGGGGAGTAGCTAGTTGAAGCTTTTTCATTTAGAAGGAACGTGAGTACGCAAAATTATACGGACAATACAACGTTACACATAATGGAAGTTTGTGTTATTTTTATCACATTAAAAACAGTGTTGAAAACTTGTACGATGACCGATATGACCGCTAAATGTCCGCACAGTAGGATCTCTGTAGCGGTGATGTGATATAAAGGTTTTTCTCAAACTTAAAAGAGTTCTTAAGTTATCAAGATTTAAAACGCACTGTTTCCGTTTCATAGACGAATTTTAGATCAGAAGCACGTATTGCTTTTGTTTTTAAAGACGTGGGTTAAAAAATCTGGAGGATTCGATTATTGAAACAAGTTAATATCTATTGGATGTGTGATTACGTAAGGCTCTGCCGACATGAAATGTTGCACAAGAAGTACGCTTTGATTTAAGAAGTTAATCACCTAGTCGACATGGGATGCCACTCAAGGAATCGCGTTTTCATTTCAAATAAAGCTTTCAATGATGCGTGAAAGTGTTTTGTCATAATGCTAAAGCGTGCTTTGTGGATGATTGAAATTATTTTTGACCAAACACAATAGAATCTGAAAAGCCTTAATACCAGACCTTACGCCAAGCGTATGCATGCCGTCATAACCCAATTAATAAGAAATTTTTAAAGTTATTTCGCACAGATTCCAGAGATATTCTGTTGCTGTAGGGTATTAAAGTGTGTGCTAGGAAATAGGGTGTAGATGCTGGCTAAAGATCTTTTATTGTTGTTTAGCTATCAATATCAAAAGTTGTTCTCTATGATTGATCTTCGGATAATTTATTCATTTGTGTTTTTAGAATCTTATCCTAGAGGTCATGCTTAAGTGAACGTTAATGGCAAAACAGCAAAAAAAAAAAAAAAGGAAAAAGAATTGGCTTTAACTTATTGAAAAGAGCTTTCTAAAATGAATGCAATTCATGACAGTTAAGCTTACTTTGTCAAAGTACTTTGAACTTCACACATCATATCCAAACCATAGTTTGGAGAGACATAAAATTGAAAAATTCATTACCTTGAAAACATTATAATGCAAACAGAGGCATCAAAAGATTTTGAGCTTCTTTGAGTTGTTATTTTTACTACTGGAAGAAAGGCTGCCTTAGTGATTTTTAACCAATATCACTTTTTCTTCTGAAAACAATATCTTTATCAAAAATTATCATTCTCCATAGCAGTGTGGTCACAGGAAATTGTTTATAGATGATCACTCAACTTTGAAAGATATAGGATAATTGAAACTTGCATTTCAATTCATAGGAGTTATTTTTGTAATAATTTAAGCTTTTGTTGAGAGTAATTTCTTATTGTTTTATGCTTTAGTCTTCTCCATGTTCAATAAAATTTGCTCTGTGCAATATCTTTCATCAGATTATGACATATTATGGCTGTTCAGCCAGCTAAGACTAGTGAATATTTTAAAACCTTTCAGGTCAGGTTTACAAATTGTGCAACACTTATTAGCATAATTATGAAAATCCTGTGATATTTGCAAACATCTCTCCAAACAAAATGTGAATAATGAAATGAAGAAGTAACGAGTTGTTCAATGACTTTGTACTATTCAAAGGCTTGCAGCTAAGCATCATCGCATTTCCATCATACAGTTTTCGTATTTTTTTACAAATTTGCTGTTTTGATTAGGCATGGAAGATGGAAGAATTTTCTAGCTGATATTCAGAACTCTGTACCTAGATTTTGGTGGTCTGAGCTATCAGACGTGGGAAATGTTTTCCTGTTACCTAAAAATATCCTCCAGCTACCAATTGTTATAATGGGAACCCCGAAATCTGGTCATCATTCTGTTTCTTTTGGGGGGCTCTGTTTTGATTTGATGGCAAATTCACAGAACTAAAATAATGAGAAATGTGGGGCAATCTGTGTATAGAGTTGATACATGTAGTTTGATTGTTGGAATGAAGGAGTCAACAGATCTATAAATAATTTGACTTGTAACCTTAGCACACTAGCTACTAAGACAGACTGTCTCTGAGCTTTCCCTTAACCCTTAACACCCTAACATCAGTATTCATATTCTCCATACTGTCCTCTGTACATTTACTAAGGTGCTGACAGGGAGAATTTGTCTAACAATCAAGAGTTTCTTTAGCTGGTGATCATTTCCTTTATTCTCATGACATTAATGTGTGATTCAGTAGTGACATTGTAGAGAGAAATTAGATGCTGGTCACTCCCAGGGGTTTAAGGGTTAAAAATAATTTAATATTGCTTGTAAGGTAGTTTTGATTCATTGATTCTCAAAAAGTATTTTTCTGTAGGTTCTCTGGCACCTGGATGTGTTCAGAAGAAGTTTTAGAGAGATTAAAGGCCATTACTGTATGGGAGAGTCATGTATATTCTGTGCACTGGACTTGATATTCAAACAATTCCAGTACAGCAGTAATGATGCCTTGCCACCAGATGGACTGCGAGTTGCTTTAGCTGCTGCATTTAAGGTTGGTGATATACATGTAGAATAAGTTTTTTTGTGTGGGAGAGAATGCTATGTAGCAAATTTAGTTAGGCTCCTCATAAAGAAGAAGCTGAGCATGGATCAAGCCATGTCAAATCACAAAAACAAGTGAGAATTCCTTTGATTGGAAAATGTGAGGAGGTTAGTGGGTTATTTTTGTGTTGATCCAGACTACCACATAATATGGATGGGTTCAATATTGGAACAATAATGGATCTTCCTAGTCATCACTTAAAAAATTAAAGGTCAATCCAAAGATGTGGTGAGTTAACTACTGTATCAGAGCAACTTACAACTTGTAGAGATCTTTGTTTGTGTCTGTTACTAATGTATCAGAGCTCCGGTAGTTTTGCAATGATTTGATTTAAATTAGAACAAAATTGATTGATGCCAAAAGTCTGAAGGGTGGGTTTGATAAATACCTAAAAGATAGAACTATCAGTAATGAGAAGTAATATTTTGTTTGACAGAACCAGCATAGATTTCAGCTGGGAGACATGGATGATGCTGCAGAGTGCTTTGTAAGTGCCTTGTTGGTTCTAATAGTCTTGGCTTCCTTTTCAAAAACTTATTTTTGATTGATTGGGAAGGACATAGCTTATATGTTATCTTGTCAAGCCTTATAATTATCCATTGTGTATGATGTAGTCCCAGTAAATTAAAAAATTCAAATTTGTAGCTTCATGTCTTCTCATGTAGATTATTTTCTCTTAATTTCCCTTCTCTTTTTTAACCTAACAGGGAGTTAAATGGTAAGATGCCACATGCTTGCTAATCATTCTGTTTTTTTCTCTTGTTCTAGGAAAACATCCTCAGTCATATGCATACCCTTGTGACAAAGAATGAGTACGATGATGCTTGTAATGCTAAACATTGTATATCACACCAAAAATTTGCCATGCAGGTTATTGAGCAGGTAATAATCACGGATTTCGTATATTTTGAATTTGGCTGGGTAAGGTTAAAAAGCAGACAGTGTTGAACTCCATAGTTCAGCTTAATTAACTTCTTGACCACATATTGATTTAATGAATGAATGAAGTAGTAAACTCAAACTGTGAAATCACTTTTTTT